AAAGGATTAAGGCCTAAGTAAATAAGGTGTAAAGCTTATAAAAAGCCTTTTTTACTTACTATATTATTACTTACTTCCTTACTACCTTAGATATTAGCTTATTTATTAAAGGGGTATATACCTTAAAGTAGTTTTTAATAAATTACTAATAGAATCCTATAAACCTTAAAAAAACCTAGATCTCCCTAACACTAGTAGAGAGTAGCTACTTTACTATTACTTATACTTACTTATACTTTATAGTAATCTTTTTATTAAACACTATAAAACCTAAGAACCTAATAAACTAGGTGTAAAAAACATACTTCTTAGGGTTTATATATAGCCTTATAGCGTCTAACTAGCTTAGTACCTACTTAACTACCTCTATATAACTTTTTTTATTTTTTATAAAAATTAAGATATTATTTAAGTAGATAATATATATAACGTCTACTAGCCTAGTAAAGGTATTATTAATATATATTTAAAATATTACTAGTATATTAACTAGCCTAAATAGTATAATATAATATTTAAAGTGTTTATAATAAGTATAAAAGGCTATTTTTTATTTATTACCTACCTTAATCCTTACTTAGTAATATATAATTTTTAGGTTTAGCTTTATATACTACTTTACTTTTACTAAATAGTTAAGAATCTTACTAATAAGGAGTAGTAGTATATAATTCTTAATAGTTACTTTATTAAGCCCCCTATAGTCTATATAAAGATATAGCTTACTTTTTTTCTTAGGAATAAAGAGGATTAGCGCCCTTACTAGGCTTATAAAGTGTTTAATTTAGCTTTTCTTAAGTAACTTATTAATATATATTTTTAATTCCTTTAGTTTTTTCTTAGCTTATAAGTAAATAAGACTAAATAGCGCTTTTACCTCTAGCTTTAAATTAATTATATATAAGTAGCCTTTATTACCTACTAGCTAGGCTACTAGGCCTATATTAAATATATATATTTATTCCTTATAGGCCTTTAGTAAAGTAGCCTTTATTCCTTTATCTTATTTAGCCTTTACTTCTTTTTTTTAGTTATAATAAGGTATCTTTAGTACTTTTTTATCCCCCTTATATTATAAATAGTAAATTATTAGTTAATAAGCTAAAATAGCCCTTAACTCCTTATATACTTTCTTAATTTCTTACTTACTTTAAATAAGTTAAAGGTAGTCTTTTCTTAGTAAGTATATCTAACTAATTATTATTTACTTTATATTTAGTTATACTACTTATCCTTAAGAGATCCTTAGGATAGTATTATACCTAGCTATATTACTAACTTAGAAAGTATAGCTTTACGTCCTTAAGACCTTTATATTATCTATAACTTTTATTACTACCCTCTTTATTTTATAGTCTAAAGCCTTACCTCCTTATATACTTTAAAGCGTTAGGCCCCTCTAGCTTACCTCTACTAGTACCTTTATATATAATATTCTTTAGTATAGTATATTCTTATTTATACTAAGATTAATTAGTACTTTTTTTTTATATACTACTTATCTTAGTATAAAAATCTACCTTAAAGTAGTAATATAGTTTTTTATTTTAAAAAAGCTTAATACTATTAACCTTTATTAGCACTAAGGTATACTATCTCCTTAAGTATTATAGTTATTTATACTTATAGTACTTTTTTTTATTATACCTAGCTAACTAGTACTTAAGCTTTTTATAGTTATAATAAGTAAGTAGTCTTTAGGTCCTTTTTAGCTAAAATATTATACTTTTTTTTTTAACCTCTAGCTTTAATATAAGTATACTTACTAGTATTATAGCTATTAGTATTAAGTATATACTAGTAGCTTTAGTTAAGAGGGTATCTATAGTTATTAGTTATACTACTACCTCTTAGTAGCTTTTCCTCTCTTAACCTTACCTTAGCTATCCTCTTAACACCTCTCTTATATAGGTCTTAGTAAGTGTTTTTACTTTTTTTACTATATTATTTAACTTCTAGTAGGTAGCTAGTAGCCCCTTAGTAAGTATATAAGTCCTTAGGTCTAAAAGCACTTAGTTTAAAATATAAACTACTTATTACCTTTTTATTTAAAGGTTAAAGTACTTCTTTTTAACTATTTTATACTTATTAATAAATTATTAGTATAACTAGCCTAAGGCTTATTATATAATATTTAGCTTTATAGTAGTACTAAAAGCTTATATATTATTATTAGTAATATTTACTTTTAGCTAGTCTTTTATAACTTTTTAAGGTACTTTACTAATTTTACTTTTATAATAAAAACCTATATACTTTTTTTATTTATATACTAAGTTACTTTTTAATATAGTATTAGTATATCTTACTTTATTATTATTAGTTATAAACTTATTTTTTACTATATTAAAATATATTTCTAACTAAAATAAGAATTCTTATAGTTTATTTTAGCTTTTTTTTTATACCTTAAAGTAAGTAATCTTTTTAAAAGTATATTAATATAAAGTTATTTAGCCTTTAGTTAAAGATTAGTAGTTATTTTTATTTCTTTTTATATATTTTTTATAAATATACTACTTTAAAAAGTCTTAATTTAATTAATTATTTTCTTTTTTTTTACCTTTTTTACTTTTTTTTTTAAAAAAGCCTTTAGCTCTTTTTTTAATAGCTTACCTAAGTTAATAGTATACTACTTATCTACTAGTATAAACTTAGTTATATTAAGCGTTAGTTATCTTATTATAGAGCTTTTTTATTACTAAGCTATAGTTTAGAATTTAATAAGCACTATTACTACTTTAGTAGTTAATACACCTAAAAATAAAAAGATATTTAAATATATTAAAAGTAAAAATAGTATTAAGTAAAAAAGTTAGTAATAAGTATAATTAGGGTTTAATTATAATAATTATTTTAATATACCTCCTCTAACCCTTATTTTCTATAAAGTTTTCCCCTTTTGTTATTCCTTTAGTAACTAGTTTATTTATTCTTAGTCCCACTCTAGTGCCCCCCTGGGGCCTCACTCTAGGCACCTGACACCAAGTCAGTCAAATACCGATCCAAAGCCTATACATGAGTCATCCCGTCTGCCGTTGTGGTTTGGGATGTCTTGTATCTAGCTGCGGGGAAACCGGAGAGTATAAGACTCTGAGGCCAAGAACAACCGAAAACAACCGAGAACAACCCCGCATCTCTTAACATTTATGTCGTCGTGGTCGGCCGGCAGAGTTAAGAGGGCATTCCTTAGCGGCCGGCCACCGCTTATTAGACTTACGGGACCTAGGATGCAGCTGACCTGACCTACCCCCCCCCCCCCCTGGCTGACCTGACCTGGGCCCACTCTAACCCTAACCCTATCAAGAAGGAGGGTACGTCAGGTAAGGTATAATTGATTCTTCTAAAACTCATAGATACAGGTTAGGGTTTGTAGTTAGGGTTAGTAGTTAGGGTCAGTGGTTAGTTTAGCCTATGGTATATGTTTATTCTTTTAGTGTTAGATAGAAGGGTATAAGGGTTAGGGTTATGGATTGATCCTGGATTGATACAGGATTAATCTATATTTCTGGGTGGGCCTAGGTCACGTCAGCCAGGCGGGGGGTACGTCAGGTGAGATGTATACCGTACAGGACCTTGCTGATATCAACTCACGGGCCCCACTCCTTACAAGTACCACATGGAGTTAGCTTAAAAGAAGAGAGAAGTCAAGGGCTTGTATCCACAATGCATTCGCTCTGAATAAGAGAAAATATAGATATGTCAAGCGAAAATTAACATGCCAAAATGGCAAATAAACTAACGTGTTTTCCTGAATAGAGAGACGAATCATGCTGTCAGGGATAGCAGAGGAAGTGATGCATCGATTTTACACAGACGCGAGCCACTGTTGTCTCCATTCTTCTAAAGCCTCGCCCATTGGCCTCAGTAGGTGCAAGGGCTCAGCAGTCCGATCCACTGTCTCCCCTATTCCCTGAGATCGCCAGGAAAGATATCCGGTGGGGGGTGGAGCCGATCCAAAGTCACGTGGCGCCAAAGACCCCCCCCCCCCCCCCTCCCCCCCACGTGACCGACCTCGGCAGCTCACTTACACAACGAGTATCTATGGCAGCTGCCACTTTCTTCCTACTTCACTTGTTCAATCAACCCAACAGCAAATAGTAAATACACCACTATTTCTGTCACTCTGACCATCGACATGTGATACCAATAGTCTTATTACAGATGTAAACACTACACATCTTGTCTTTTCACCTCCCGCGAGGCCTGTATTGTTGTCCGTCGTAAGTGACCGGGTAGGAACTTGCAGTACATATGACCGTGTGACGAGTGAGAAAAACTGTTCGAGGACGCTGCTAACCTTTCCCGTGAGTTTGTTTCCTCTTCATTCGTATTCAAGCAGCCTGACGATGTGCGCTGCACGGGAGAACCTTGGACGCTATTGTACGCGCCCAAGGCTCTAGCTGGTTGTATCTAGATCTCAACAAACCACCGGGTGGAATCGAGCATGTGGTGATCCTAAGTGCGTTTCAGTATGAGTGCAATGGCATGTGTTTTGCGTGGTCCAATACTATAATTAATTAGGGTGCAAAGTATTTGGAAATTTGGGCGGACGGATGGATGATTCCACCCCAATTATGCTGCATCCCGCAGGAAAAAGATGGTGTCACGAAGGGTTTCGAGTAATGAGGCTCTGTGGGTACAGATAGTTATGTGCCAGAAAAGCATGATAGATGGCGTAATGCACCGTAGGATGAACAAGTTGGAAAGAATTTAAGTTTGAGTGCATCCCAGTGTGAAGGAAGACGCATCAGCGAATCGCGTAGCTCGAAGGCCATACCCCGAGAACGTAGCCAATCAAGGATCCGCGCAAAGAAACCCAAACATTTAAGCAGAAAATCGGCTGCCGCAATGCCACCACCTTAACCATGCACGTCTGTTCGTTAAAGCCCACCCAGGTGCAACGAACCCTTGTATGCAAGGCTAGGTAGAGATAGGTAACACTTCGGATTGTATTGATAAACTTTATGCACGGGTAATTCAGATGCGCCATCTCTCGCTTAGACAACAGGAGGAACGGCCAAATTTGAAGGAATCCTGCCTGCAACACCACCTGCTACGTTCTTGGCCGGTACGTTGCCCTGCGACTGTCCAGCAGCCTGTTTGTAGGCCTGCACATCCGCATCCGCCTGACTACTCAATTGTTAGCTCAGCTCACAGTGTGTAAGGGGGTTGAGGCTCTCTTACGGGTTGATGATCATGACCATTCCCAACTGGCAATGCATCCCCGTCGCGCAGTACAGGAGCATCGGGTCGGTGTTCTCGACCTGCACATTGAAGGTGCCGACGGGAGATCCATCAGTAACACCAGGAATGAATCCTGAGTGAACGGCATTCGGATTCTGATCTTGGAGAGGCATGCAGGGCGCCTGGGTGCTGGCGGCTTGAGTAACGGTGTGGTTGTTGGGCCAGAATTGGAACTGGACGATGTCGCCGGGATTGGCCCTGACGACCTCGGGATAGAATGAGACTGATTTCTCACGGGTCGGGCTGCCAACTACGACAGGGATGACCTTGGGTGTCGGGGGCGCTTGGCCTGGGGTTTGACGTTCTGTATAAGAGTAAGTAAAGGTGCAGGATATTCTCCCCCACACTCAATATAACACATACCGTTGATGGCTGCGGCTAAAGAGCCCCCGATCGTTGCAGAAAGGTAAATGACAATGGAGCTGAACTTCATCTTGAAAGCTTGATATAATCTTTATACTTATGAAGTGAATAAGACGCTGTATAGATATCGAAGAGAGACACTACTGAAAAGAACAACGCTGGTGGGAAGCGAGGAGGGTGCTGCAATATTTAAGCAAATACCATCAACCTGTGGCATCTTAGAAAGGCAATGCACTGCGGACAAAAATTACGCAAGTATACCCGGCCCCTAGAATAAACCTTTTCCCATGAATTTCCGCACTGGGCAAGCCTTTCCCGATCATGAGACCGAAGCAGCTTGGGAAACCGACATAGGCTCGGCGAGTTGCCACTATGTGCAAGAGCTGTGAAGCTTAGACATCTTTAGATATGAGATGACCGCACTGCCCAATTAGAGCCGCCAGGTATCTCAAACGTGACATGTTTCGTTTCTTCGGCCCCATGGTACACCGAAGTATGCTTACAAATGAGCCCAAAAGACGAAGGAGAAACATTAGGCATTGTCAGAGTTAAGGGTTGGGTGGATTACTTACTCTTTCGAGTGGGGAGAATAAGGACGACACGGCGGGTCGGTCAAAAATCTATCTCGTTGCGTCGGGTCCGCGCGCTGGAGCGACAAGTAGGTAAACCAAAAGAGAGCTGTCAGAAATGCTGCGCATGCCAGATCGACTCGGTAACCGGCTAAACGAACTCGGATACTACCAAGGCAGTGGGTGAAACGATGTTTCAACCAGTGAAAGAGGCGAGGGCCACCGACTGGCACTCTTGATATTTTGCTTGCGGGGGGTCTCCTAGCGGCGAGAGCTAGGGTCAACGGGAGATCTGCATGACCGCCATTGATTGCCCATATCAGTGTGTTGACTTATCTTGACTGGCGTATGCCTTTTCTAAAGTGCGAGACGTTTCTGATACAGTCCACACTCGAGTTTTCGGACTAACAGAGGGGGTGTTCGATGCCAAGGCCGTGATAGAAACCAGACGGTTCAATGGCCCTATTGGATAATACGTATCCTTTCAACAATTACTGCTACGGAATACTTTCTCACACTATGTATGATGCAGTGATAACAGAGACGGGGGGTTTAGAATCCGTCGTCCCAAGAGCTGGCGTCTTGTTTCTAAGCCACTGGGCGTTTTCTGTATGACTGCATCTCCCTTTTTCGTTTGATCTTCTCAAAACTCTTCCCCTCGAGAGTGACATCTCGATCCATGAACTGCGTGAATCAAAAACACGTACTGGAGGGCTTTGTCATAAGCTCTAATATATTTCTGGTAGAATTCGGATAGATCCTCCACATTCACCCCGTAAGTCTCGGATATCCCCACATCAGGGATCCGCTGAACCTACCTTGATTGATAAGTTGCAACTGAAAATAATGTGAGCCACAGCCAAGAAGAGAGTATGGCCGAGACCTTGCTAGAATTCCAGAAGACATCATCGAAAGCGCTGGCAGATCAAATCCGTGTCGATTAGGCAATGACTTATGGCGTGGTGAGTTGAGGAACGCAATACCCAGTTAAATAACCCGAGAGCAGTCCAACTTAATAGATGCTATTCTAAGAGCTGTATTTACACACTCACCAGAATTTGAATGCATTAATGCGTTTAAATAGAACACTGGAGAGGCTAGCAAATCAAAGTTAATGTAGTAAGTGCGGTGATTGTTGATGTTTTGTAGCCGAATGGGTATGCAATGTAGTAAATATAGATGAAGAATGTTTACGCACCAGCCAAGCTAACAAGCTATCCATTTCTGACAGAGAATTCGGAACGGGACCGCCGCCTTGTCGTTTTGTCAGAGTCAGACAAATCTCCTCTGGACCAAACAAATCGCAACGACAAACATACAGTATGACATCTCGGTTGTATTACATTGGAGAGAACTTATACCAAAGGCCAAAGGGTGAAAGGACACATCCTTTTCGTTTCAACCCAGGCCCTATGGCAGGCTTCGGGAAGGAAAGTATGCCAAGGATGGACCAAAATTTGATTCTATTACTAGTACTACTATTGTTAGAACCGAGTGGCTCTACTTGAGCGATAATCGGACAGGATTTTTTATACGGTTGATATCTAATCAAACACGAACCACAGTGATGTAAACAGAACGACTCGCGGGTTGGATGCACAAAACGGCAAGACATACCCCAAGGGTAATCACGTCAAGGCTAATGCTACTACACACACGATATACCTCAGTTGATATACTGTTATCGTATCTTTGCTGGTATCTCATGGGCATCTGATCGGACTTGGTAGGATTCCCTAAGTAAACCGTTTTTGTTATCCTACTCGGGGTGACCATTCTGTTGATATCATCGGCTTGTTCTGGATCAATTATCCTAACTAGCGGCAACAACGCATATATGACACACGGTTTACCCGCAACTATCCTGGAAAAATCATGAGATGACGGTCAAGCACAGTTAATCACTTCATGTCTAGATTGTATGAGAAGGCTCTCTAGCATGATCCATACCGGAAACTCTATATTGCCACAATTTGAAGTGGGGGTCTCCGCCGGTCTTTTATGTTAGCACAAAGCTCCGCCATCTGAACCCCGTGACGTTGATTCCTCCATAACATCGGAGCGCACGAAGTACATAGTAAATCTTGCAAATAATAACTAGGGTGAAGTGCGTCACAGGTAGCTTTATCTGCACCGCTAGAAGAAGCCCGGGCAACTTAGACATGACCGACCAGCTTGTCGGCGACGAATACGAATTGACAGACTTAAAAAAAAGTTATGGTTTTGAATGTCATTGATTGGTAGCTGATGCCGTTGGCCCAAGCTTCCTACTAGTGCTAAAACCGAACGCTAAACCCGGGGAGTACGGATATTTGGCCGCGGCACTAACACTTCCCTTGACTACCTCTCTACTAACCCCCAAGAGCAAGATCCTTCTTACCATTGCTAGCCATAGTAATATACCACGTATACTTTGTACTCTGTGTATCTTGATTGCCATTTTCTTATCAAGCTTTGGAGTGTATTAAGACTGTACTTGGTGATATGAGTGAGTCTGGATGAGGGAGCTGTTAGCGTACTTTCTGTGAGTGCCCTTACTAAAAGCGGTTAGATACGGCAAATACCAAAGCCATTCTTCCTTCCTTGGAGGATCGGTTTCGGGAGTTTGAGAACATCCGTATCCGTGCCTCTCCACCTAGCTACAGCCAATCATATTGTACCGACGACCTCTGACCATGTGTTTCCGGAACTTAAGAATGTCGCGGTCTCCGGACCTTTCCATCAGGTCCGCTCCTGACCTGAACTTGATGCATCGTCTGCCATCCGTTTTAGGCCAAATATCGTTCGTCCTTGCTTTGACAGAGCCCATTCAATTTACCAAGAGTCAGGTATTAAATCAAGTTCGGACTACGTACCTTGTATCTTGTTCCCGTCGTCATCCTTCGACATGTCCGAAAGCGAAAGCCCCGACTTTGCGAACGCCAAGAAATTCCGAGCTTGCACTAGTTGTGCTCGCCAGAAAATTAGGTGTAGATGGCCACCGGAATCGGGAAACAGCGAACGAACCGATTGCTTGAGGTATTATCCAATCATTATTTGTATTCTCGTTCTAGTATTGCCTGCAGTGGGCTGACAGCATGCTCAGATGCTCTCGGATGAGCATATCGTGCCGCGTACCAGACCCCGTCCCGAGGAAGAAACGCGGCAAGTCTAGGCAAGTCGACACAACCTACCATAGCTCCATACGGGCGATATCTCTGAAATAGATCTTACTATCTTGCTCGGGATTGATGCCTTACCAGTTATGGACGTGCAACTGACTGGGAGAGCAGTCGTGTCTTGGAACTGGAGAAGAAGATAGATGGCCTAGTCAACCTCTTTCAGTCTCAGCAGCAGGCCCAGGAAGACCACGGCTTGAAATCAAGTGCGACAGGCCCAGAAGGTGAGGCTCGGCACCTGTCTCCAGACAATGCGGTGACACTGCCTGGTCTCCACCAAGCCCCAAGCTGTCGTACTACATCAAGCGGCATTCCCGCCAGCACCCCAGAATCCCATATAATTTCAGTGCCAGATTCAAGATATTCAGACGCTACCTTTTACCTGGTCCCAGGCTTTAGCATCTCCGTTGCAAAGGCAGAAGAATACTTGGACATCTACCGAACACGATTGGTTACCAATTTCCCCTTCGTACCTGTCCGACATGACATGACAGCCATAGAGCTTCACGATACGAAGAAGTTCTTGTTCTGGTGCATAATGCAGGCTGTTGTGCCCCAGACAGCGTCTGTCCAGAAGGCAGTTGACGATTGGGTCCGCCGGCATGCGGCCATGCACGTCGTTGTCTTAGGGGAACAGTCGATCGAACTACTCCAGGGACTTCTGGTCTACGTTGCTTGGTAAGTTCATCTCATGCTTTGGCGAGTTGGAGTCAATCCAAATCCGCATCGTTATGGAAATAACCTATATTTGGGGCAAACCTGTCTAACAGTGACTCGGTTCAGGGGTGACCTTCACTTTCAGATGGGTACCAATGCCTACTCACTGCTACAAATGGCAATCGGCATGGTGATGGAGATGACCTTATTCTCCTTTGGAGGCTTCATGAGCTGGATGCCAAGATCTTCACTACCCGAAGCATGGGCTCTCCTAGGTCGAGGCAACCAGATCGAGTCAACGAAACAAACCCTCGAAGAGCAAAGGGCAATCCTAGGCTGCTACTTTGTCGCATCTAGGTATGCCCATTAGCCAATTTGAATCAAGAGAAAAAGACTGACTTTCCTTTTAGTAACCCGGCAGCCATGCGAAAGTACTCGCAAATACAATATAGGCCACAAATCGCTCGATGTTTCAAAGCCATTCGCGAGGCCTCTGAACTGCCCTCTGATGCGCAACTACTTGCGCTTATCCGGCTGCAAAATATCGGAGACCGCATTCGCTCGGTGTATCCAAATACCGACAAAGACGAGGGAATAGCTGTGCCAATCTTCCGAGAACATTTTGCTGCGGTCTTGTTGTCGATTCGCAAGGAGATAATTGCCTTGGAGTCGGAGGAGCCTATTATAAACAGAAACCAACGTGGGTGCCGCATCTTTTTGTTGTGCGAAGCGGAATGACTAATTTCCATGTGCAACAGCAATGTTATGGGCTCACTACCAGGCATTGATGGTCAAACTATATGAGCCTTGTATAGGCATGCGTGCAGCAAGGCCCTCCGAGGCGACGTCTCTCACAGAGCCACACAGCAGGACCGAAGCGCTTTGGTGTTGCTTACAAGCAGTTGAAAATGCCGCGAAGGCTTTGCTGGACATATCGGTAGAAAAGTTCGCATATCTACCATTCAACTCGGTCGCAGACTTGGCATTCACAATGACGACATCGCATCGACTTCTGCTGGAGCGTGCAGCTAGCGACTGGGACGTGGGACTGGCACGGCAGAAACTGGACATGGCGGAGCTAACCCGTCAGCTGGGAGACAAGCTTGAAGAGGCGGACAACGTAGCTCTCGTCGTCGGCCAAAAACGGCGGGTGTTCGAAGACAATAGCTCGAGATGGTCCAACTATGCTTACCGGGCCAGATGGTTACGGCAGTTGTACCTTTCTAGAATGGCGCCGCCTGTGGAAGAGCAAACACCCAGCCTGGCGCAACTGGACTCTGGTCCGGTATTGAATGAACCGAACATGACGTGGTTAGCTGGGGTGTCTATGGATCAGGGATTTTGGGGCGCGATGATGTTAGACGGACCTGGCCAAATCCCGTTTGACGCGTCTATGCCTTTACCGGATCCATCTGGCTTTTTACCAGTACAATCTGCATAGTAGAATTCATTCTCTTCTGGCAAGAGGTTTCACACGAGGCCCGGCGTGCTAAGTCACAGAGCTATAATAGCGCTTTGCTCTTGCTCCTGCCTTTGGAGTCGCAGAGCCTCCAAGGCGTGCTCCTGTGTTTATTCATAACAAGTTGCTTGCTTGCTTTTAATCATTAGAGCTTCTGTGACTAATTCATCCAGTCTAGGGTACACTTTACTTCGAGTGACATTCTGCTCAGATTGTCATCATTGGATATGACGAGGAATGGTCAATGAGCTACAACTCCGCCGAGACCGGATCACCTGCCTATACATTAGACTCTGTACCGACGTTGTATTCTTGAGTATCTTGCGCTGTGTAAAAAGCATATTGAATGAAAGCAAGAAATGTAAGACATTGAAAAGAAGTCCACACGCAAAGGCCTATATGCAACAAGAATACCGCAGATGTTTGAACAGGGTCAGGCTTATATAGTGGTGCTGACGCCGGCCAGCTCCATATGTCCACCCGTACTTCCGCCAAAATCGAGGGAAAATGTGTTGTGGGGTCGTTTGGTTCCATTCATAGTTATTTAATCAGTAACTTAGATGAGACAGATTATGGGTGCGTTGGATTCCATAAGGGATCCCGCAACTTTCGGGTCTCTCGCAATCACTTATCTGTCAGCATGCATAGCTTCATGGCGGCTGTAGGCCCGGAATCGACGGAATGGAAATGTCGGATGAAGTGTCGCTTGCCTGCCTATTCTGACTAGCCTCACTCGGCCATAGTTCATTTGCCTTTGGATTCTCGAACTGGCCTTAACCTTGACATGGATATGTTCCAAAGATCATGGCAGGCGGAGTTATCCACACCAAGCACAAAGTGTTGGAGAACCTCGAAAAAGCCAATTAATGATAAGTGCGTCGCCGTGACGCCGGCTTGATTTGTTCGTCAGGTATTAAGGTGTCAGATCACGAGCCTGTTCACATCGTCTTGTCTTTAAAAAGGTCACTGCCCTAATATCTTCAAGCCAAAGGCGACCGATATTTCCAACGAAAGTTGACAAGAGCCATCTAATCTTCAAATCAATTATTAGCCAGCTAGGCATCGGACTGTGATTTCTAATCTTTAAGTCTGAGATTTCTGTCCTGCCCGTTTTGTTTTCCCGACACGTCACCCACGGGTAGGGTGGGGGAAATGCTACCTCCTGTTGCCTGCAGTACTTCTGGTCAGGGTATTCCGAATTTCATGCTGCATGCAGGGGTTACGTCCTACCTGAGTTGTGGCGTTGTGATCTGGTCGTAATAGCGGGTATGGCATAATTACTCAATTCCCTGCCACTACCCCTAACTCGTTAACGCAAGCTCCTATACGAAATACATACAGCTGTCCTCTTGGGGGTATTGAGTTTAAGATCCATTACTAGCTCTCCGACTTTGTTCCCTACCAGAGCCCGATTTGAACGAATTATGGTTTATTGTCGTCAACACGTGGTCACAGAGGATCCGGGATAAGCGGCAAGTAGATGGGTCAAAGACCGGGACACTTTCTCTTCAGGCTTTATCGAAATAATAGCGGGGTGTTTCTCTTGGCCGATTTATGACAACCTCCCCACCCCGGGGTCATAAAACCGTGGCAGAGGGCTCGTCTTACGGATCATGTTTACCTAGACCTAGGGTATTCGGCCTTGAGCGCGGCGCGACACACCGATAGATTTATGCGTGCGGGCTCCTAAATGGTTTCGGCAATCTCTTCCTCAAACAGTGGCTAATATCTTGAACCCGAGTGGGTTACAGATAGGACTGTCATCGTGCCCAATGAGGATGCCAGCCTCTTCGTGCAGATCTCGGCACTCCACCTTTCGCGACTCCAACGGCGGGGCCGGCAGACCAAAACAGGCTCAGGCCCTGATTGGTTCGGCTTTTACCCTCAGTCACTCAAGCTGCACAGGAGCATGGAGGGTAATCTGTTGTTGGCCATCAAATTGTATCATGCATTGTCTGAATGTTGTGGACCAATAATCCATTGTCTGGAATGGCGATGTCTGGAAGGAGGTGGCCGGCATCAGCAAGATAACGGCGGAACTTGACTACGGCTCAAGACTCTACCTACGTTATGTTGACTTCTTGTAGTGAAGTTTTAACAAGATCTGAAGAGAATGCGCCCCGGAATCTTTTTATTTTACTTTTACTCCTCCAACCGGTTTGGGTCACCAGCGTTCCCGCCACAACTCACAGGCCCCAGGTTCCCCCACCTCGGAACCCCCTCATCCCCCGCCGGCAATAGCAAGTTCCAAGGTTGGGTGGATATCTGGAGAATCCGGGGTAGCGTCGATGCAACGTTAAGTGGTCCAGCCCTCCGTCGCTGTTGTAAAAGCTGATAAAGGATTGATAAAGACGAGGGAGAAGCACCAATGGTAATCAGACCACTCCTTGTCCCACATCTCCCTTCTACCGGTTCTATCCTGGCAACTTCGCTGTCTTCACTTTTCATTTCCATCTCGTTGAGCAGACTAACACCCTCGCGATGTCAGGCTGGAGATATGCATTTGCTCTGAGCAAACAAGAGGTCGCGGCCGCTACACCACCGGGAACAGCGAGGTTACTGGGTAAGTCATTTGGCACACTGGTTCTTACAACCAACTATTTGCGTGTAGCTATTACAAGCGACCACGGCTTGTTCTTCCTCTCTCAAATGGGACCTACCAGCTGACGAAACATTGCTCTGTGATCGAAGACGAATCTACCCGCATATCAACGTCTCCCAACTCATTTACTCGATTTCCACCGCCATCTGAGGACCCAGCGGACCCTCTGAACTGGGCACGATGGCGGAAACTCGCGTTGCTCCTGGTTGTCTCGTTTTATTCATTTTGTGGCAACTTTACATCTGCGAGCATTGCGCCAGCACTTCAATTATGGTTTAAAACATTTCCCAGCCAAGTTCGGCCTTATGGTGACCTGACGCACTTCATCGCTGTTCGTTTCTCCACGCTTTGTCGCGGTAGACTTCCAGGTGGCTAACTTGCGTCATTTCTCCAGGTCAACACCTTATTCCTCGGGACGTCCAACATCTTGTGGGTTCCCTGCTCAAACATCTTTGGTCGGAGGCCAGTGTTATTGGCCGCGACGCTGCTGATGACAGTCGCCACCATATGGTGCGCTGTCTCAACCACCTATAACTCGGTACTGGTGGCAAGATTGTTCCAAGGCATAGGGGCTGGCGCCTCTGAGACCGTAGCCCCGGCCCTGATTGGCGAGGTCTTCTTTGTAGATGAACGTGGGCGTGCAATGGTGAGTAAAAGTGGACTTCTACAGAGTCCAAGTTCCAGAGTTCTAACTTGCGATGAAAGGCTGTCTATACAATGTTCCTGGCTGCAGGCTCGCTTATTGGCGGCATTGCTGGCGGTTACATCGGCTTTTCAAAAGGCTGGGCGGATATTTTCTGGGTAGGAGTCGCTATTTCCGCTTTCTGCTTTGTCTGCACTATCTTGCTTGTGCCAGAGACACTATACGATCGTGTAGTCTCGCCCGTGGAAACTACGACCGGCTCTAATAGCGGTGAGAAGGGGAGCGAAATTCGCATTGAGGATTCTAGGAGTCAAATGCTGGACTATCGCCCATACACCTTTGGAAGGTCGCTTGGGTTCACACACTACCGCGGCAATGTGGTCAGCAATTTTGCGGCACCATGGAAGACGCTCTGGCTCCCTGGCACTTGGGTTGTGATGTTCCATTATGCCGGCCTAGTCGGTGGGATCGTGACAATCTCCGTCATCGGTCCTCAGCTGGTTGCCTCACCACCTTATCTCTGGGGAAACAATGTTGGGCTCATAAACATTGGAGGATTGGTTGGCACACTCTTGGGCGCGGCATACACTTACATCCTCTCAGACGCCCTGCTCAAGAAGAATGTCAAGACTTCTGGCAGTGGTCTCGCGGAGGCAGAGAGCAGGCTCCCAATTATGTTTCTATCTCTTGTCGTCGCGACCGGCGGTTTCTTAGTCTTTGGATTTTCTGCCCAATACCCCTCCAAGAATGGCTGGGTTGGCCTATGTGCCGGCTATGCAATGGTTGCTTTTGGCCTAATGCAGCTCCCCTCCGTCGGTTTCAACTACGTAAGTCCATCGAGATCGTTTCCAACTTAAAGCCGATGCTGACTAGTGTTTCCCAATAGCTTATTGACGCCTACAAACAACGAGCTGGTGATTGTTTCGTCATGGTTACCATTATACGAGCCACTATCGCCTTTGCCTGGACATTTTTTGTTGCGAATTGGGTCGCGGAGAAGGGACCGGCGGAGCCGTTTGGCATATTTGGAATGCTCATGGGCCTCTTCTCTCTATTAACCATCCCTCTGTGGATGTTTGGCAAGAGGATGAGAATTGCAACAAGTAAGCTTGTGGAATCTTGATCGGAGCAAGCAATATGTATCGTAGTCCACGAAGCCTATGGGTGTTGCATCTGACAACACTCTCACGGATTCATCCAGCCTGCCTTTATCCCTGATACTTTATGGTGCGGGTTCATTATCAGATGCAACCATTTCGTGGACCACATGATATATCTAACCACATAGAGAGGTAGACGTTTCTACTACTTCATGAACTTTTCAGTTCATCGTACTAGTTGGTGGCTATGGAATCAAACGGTGCATCAATAAATTCTGTGCTTAGCGGCTTAATCAAGTGGAACAATCATTACTACGCGAGAAACAAGATGTTCTCATGGTGAAAAAATAGCTCTGCCTTGAGAGATACGTCAGATTCTGTGGACCGCGGCATCTCCCGCCCCCAAGATTCGTGGTGAGTTTGTCTGTTTGAGCGATTTGGTGTCGATCATTTGTCAGCTTCCTGTCTGCGCAACTTAGAATAGTGATGAGATAATAGAAAGGCCAAGAATCACCCGCGGCTAGCTGTGCTTTGATTTGGTATCTTTTCTTCTCGATTTGGCATAAATGGACTATTGAATATAGGTAAATCGTACAATTACGGCTCACAAATGGGTCAACTGTCATAGCACTGCTTATCATTTAAGATAACTTCACGGCCTCATATTCAACATCCGCGAACATCAAGGACGATGATTTTACAAGGACCCCTTCAGTAAAATAGGTACATCAAGCCAAGAGCAACTATGGACACGTTCGTAAGTAAGTGCGCCTTGACCTTCGCGATCCCAACTTCAACAGCCTCCGTAGAGGCATCCGGGCTCTTCAGATATTCCGTCACGACAGCGGCCCCGCTGAACCCAACCCCGGCACCCAGCGTCAGTACGATCCCTACGCACCGCCTCACCGCCACAGCAGCCACCGGTGACGCGCGGCAGACGTCCGAGAACTGGCCGTAAAGCACCAGAGCCAGAATGCACGAGGACATGTGCAGATTGCGGGCCCCCTTGATCTTGATGAGCGCGTGGTGGAAGGCGTCGAATTGGCTTGGCGTCAGGGAATCGCGGTGCGGCGGGACCAGGCCGAATGTCGCGGCCCCACTTTCCGGCTTGGCGAGGTTAAAGGCCCCGTCTGCGGCGCCAAGGAGGGCGAGGAGGCTGGTGAAGAGTGGCAGGGCCGCGGGCCTCCAGAAGGCTGGTGAAGGGTTGAGAGTCGCCATGAGCGGAGGGCTCCGTAGAGGCGTGATTCTGATTTGTTCACTGACCTCAAGTGTGCCACCAAAGCTGGATTAAGATAAGGTCGCAGACAGTCAGACAATGCTGGTGCCTTGATATCGAATCCCCGGACGTATTTTTGGTATTTTTATCGCGGTATATTTCTTTATTTTCAATAAGGACTAGTCGTTGGGATCCTGGAATCATTTCTAGGCAGCGGCTGACATGTATATCACGTGGCAGTCAGACGTCTCCTGCATTAACCCATTTCGTCTTCATAATTTGCAATCATCCGCCCCTAACCTACTTTAGTCTAACCAGATCTGGCCTAACAAACATATCGTTGATAATATTATTCACCTTCTGGGCTTTAAACGTATCAAATGTCAGGCATTTGGCCTTTTCAAGACAAGAGCTAGGTATTCATGTTATTCGGTATACTTGCCAGTAGTCTTATTCGAGTCAAGATGCACATAGAAGTGTGGAACAACTAATCTTTTGACCGGGGTTCTCATAACGGTCTGAAGTGGCAGGCCTCTCACTGGTGCGAAGTTGCCATCCTGGATTCAATTATGGTACCACGTGCATTTGAAACCAAAAGCAGCCAGAAACATGATAAGGGAATCAATGATGAAGTTCTCAATTGGTTGCTTCACGATCCCAAATATCTATCACATGTGGTGCTGTACTTCCATCCCAACTATCAGGCTGAGACGCTACTATTCTGGTATCATTCAGCATCGGACGGAGCTGAAACGATCATTCCACTCGGTGGGAACCGTGTTCTGCTGTCCCCTGGTGGTCCAAGAACCACCTCCACAGCTTCCGTGCCTAATTGTTGCACACATTTGATTAGCGATGGCCATACGAAGAGGTGCACGGAAGAGGCAGAGAGTCGATCCCATTCGGTACAACAAACACGTAACAGGGGGCAGTAGTCACTTACTCGAAGAAGACACACTCAATGTTGCCGGTGTTAACCGAGCTGACTTGATCGTTCATCCCCCCGGGAAAGTTGGCTATATGCTGTCAGAGCCCTGAGGAGAAGCAGAGGAAACGGATTTCCAACTTACTGCACCCAACAACATCAATCGACTGACAGTTTCCCTGACTCTGGTCCCTGCAGATCTGAATTACGACAGCGTTGGCGAGGCCCAAAAAGGCGACGGTCATGACAGCAAAGGACTTCATGTTTGTGAGAATTGGTGGTAGCTTAATGGATTGTGTTGGTGTGAAGACTCTGAATGATTGAATGATGAGGAGTTGTGTCTGTGTTGAGAGAGATTTGACGGACCAAAACCAGTCTTTTGTACTTTCTCTAAATCGCCAGCTCGTCATATACTGCGAATACAGGACGAAACCTGGTATTGTATAGTCCCACTATAGATAAGTACTACGCATCTGAGCAGCGAATCGCGGCTTGGGCAGTAACACTGTGGATCAGCTTTTGCTAGTGCTTATACAAACATACTCATGACAGGATTTGGTTGTGGATCTCAATGATGTGTAGTATCACTCTTTGCAAGCGTGGTCACATAGTGGGCTAGGCAGGTGCATACTGAACCGAACTACTACATACACGGGTGAATCCGCCTTCCACTCTTATTTGAGATGACCTATCGGGTGTTTCTCCAGCACCCCAGTCCTGTTTCGGCCAATACGACAGGCATTATTTAACAGCCGTTTTTCCCCTTCCCGTTAGTTTAGATAGATGCGGAAGGCGGATTTACTTACACAGTATATACGCTATCCATCATATCAGTAATGTTGCCCCCTGCTGATGGTGATGATACTTGTGGAATATTGCTATCTATCCCGGTTTCTTATGCAGCTGTCGTCCCAGGCCGCATCACATCTGACACCCATTCAGTCTCGTGGGTTGTTATTGCTGCAGTGATACGTGTCCACTGGTCACTATTAAGGTCGCACATGTATTACATTTACATGCACACGCTGTATTGTTTGGTGGAAGTATTGGGAGATAAGTGGATGATCACTGATAAAGTCCTTAATCATAGTCTCCACCGCCATAACGACGTTGTTGCCTATTTGAGGTTAGGATTACGGTTCCATCGACATGAGCTGCTTGAAAATCATAACCAGCTCAAGCTAGATTAAGCTTGGCTGAGGGCTAGAGTGAGACCATCCAGGTCAGTCTAAGCAGTTACCATAGCTGGGAGAGCCCCAGAAACTGAGGGGGAAATGCAGGAGGATTTCGACCCTTGTTAAAGCTCTTGCTTCATTATGTAATAACAATGTGTATTAGGACAGGGCGGGGCGGTCATGCCAAGTGTCACTGATAGACAGCGGTATATTACCCAAGCGTGTACTGGTCAGGGGACATACAGGTAAGCAGCTCACGAGACAGATAGAAAAACAACAAAGCACTTCAACATGAAGTTCTCCTAAGTATCTTTCCCCTGATCAGACGTGGGCTTTTCTATAATTTACTTTTGATCGTGATGACACAAGATTCGTAGGAGTATCCACTCCACTAATTGCCTCTAGCTATGCTCTCATCCGGGCAACTATTCTGCCTGGATCAGAGTATCCAACTAAGCTGATTGAGGGGAGCATTTTGTTTTGCGTTAGTAGGCATTGGTGTTTCTATCTAGACGACTGCACCGCATAGGTCCCTGTTTACCCTACACGTTTCCAGTATGTTATAGAATATGGAAAAACAATACGCTCAATGATTTGCCATGTGCTTGCCCCTACGCTTCTCTTTGGTGTGAAATATCCTATTATGCTGATTCTCGTTTAGAAGCTGAGCCACAATCAGGAAGAGCCTTTTCTCTACAACAAGGGCGTGTCGGCCTTTGGTCTGTTTGTCTCCCATTCTTGCCCTCTTCTCCTAAGGATCAGAAGCGACCCCGAGCCATATTGCCCGATGATGTGGGGTACAAATGAGTTTGGCGGTCTCCGCTCTACGACCCGCAATCTAACGTCTGCACGGTGAGGCTACTCCGTACCAATCTGCTAGGACCACGAGAGAGTGTAAGCACTAATCCTTTCAGCCCCCGAAATTAATGGCCTCCTGTTCTCCTTGGCAGCAACATGTCTTGACCAATACCCCATATTTGGGCGATCATGACTCTCAATGACCTAACGCCTTCCTTTGCAGTTACTCACTCGGGGGACAAAGAAGACCGCCGGTTTCCCCCTACACAACAGCCACCCTCACCACCAGTACTACGGATACAGCTCCCGCAATAGGCAATGCAGCTTTTTACATGCTAAAAATATACATTTGTGAGGACTCATAACTTATAAGACAAGAAAGTCTATAAAGTGTATGAAAGTATACATCTTACCTATTTTCTGGTATCTAAAGGCAATAGGGCCATAAGATAAGGTTCTTCAAAACCAGCGGTCTTTTTTGTCCCCCGAGTGTTACTGTTACGAAAGGGGCCGAGTGACAATTTGTGCAGCTCCTGTTCTTCAATCGGAAGTCGTCTTGACCAAGCCTACGGCAGCCTGCAGGACGCACTGGTCCAAAAGTCAACTTGGGCTGCTACACCTACCCCTATAGGAATCTTAACCTGATTAGCTCGCTTAGAGTGCACGGGCTAGCGTTGAACTTTAAAAGCTTTCCCTAGAGAAACATAACCCTAGATATAAATATTAAATCTAAAATAATCAAATACCTACTGATATGTATTAAAATTTAGAGCTATTGATTCTGTCGGGATATTCAACTGTTCAATGGTGGAGCCGATCCATGGTCACGTGATTTACTATCACGTGACTCACCCCAGCGGCTCACTTACACCACTATAAATACCTACAGCAGCAACCTCTTCTCTTTTTTCCTTAATTATTATCTTCACCTAGCTACTAATAGTTAATTAATACTATTATAGCTACCTTAATTATAATCCCTATAATACTAACACTAATTAGTAGATAACTTTATAGTTACTACTACTATAGATTAGTAAGGATTATTAGAAAAGGCTATAATACTTTACTTACTATAATAGCTTAAATTAAAGTATTAAAGTGCTACCTAGCCTAAAGATTATTAGTACTTAAGATCTTATAATACTTAGTAAATAACCTTTTAAGCCTTATATTTACTATATAATAACTACTATTACTACTATTAACTTTATTACTTTTAAAGAAGTTTTTTTTTTTATATACTACTTATTTACTAATAACCTTTATAGTATTTAGTATAATTATTTTTTTTATACTTAAGCTTTTTTAAGTTTTTTTTTTTTTATTTTTTAACTTTTTTTTTTAATTATTAAGATTTTTATCTTACTAAGTTTTTATTTTACTATAGTAGTAATAGCCTATATAAGATTATAAGTAAATAAACTCCTATAAGTTTTTATCTAAATAAGATCTTACTAGTAGGACTAGCTATAAAGTAGTTAAGTAAGAACTACTTAAGTAATCTACTTTTAATATAGTATTTATAAGTAAATAGCTTCTACTAATCTTATCTTTATATACTTCTAATATTATATTATTAGCTAGGTGTAGCCTATAGTAATTATAACTTCTTTTCTTAACTAGATAGTTAGTAGCTAAGCGTTACCTTTAGTAAGTATACCTCCTTTTGTTTTTTAAGTAAAGTAAAAAAAGTAAAAGTTACTTATATTACTTTAATTTACTTACTTTTTTTTATCCTTTAAATACTTATTAATAACTATACTATTTTTTTTACTTTTTTTTATTCTTTAAGTAAAGTATAGTTATTAGTAACTAATATAACTTTTACTTAACTTTACTATCCTAATTAATTTAAAAAAACTACTTATTATTTACTTTTAAGTAAGGTATATAACCTTAACTTCTTACTTTTTATTATCTTAATTAATTTAAGAAGACTACTTATTATTTACCCTTAAGTAAGGTATATAACCTTAACTTCTTACCTTTCTTCCTTTAAAAATCTTTAACTATAGTATTCTACTTACTAAAAAGTAAGGTCTATATATATCTCCTTTTAGAGGCAGTATATATCTCCTTTTGTTTTTTAAGTAAGATCTACTATAAGGCCTCTCTAGAGCTATCTTTTTATGTTACTAAAGCGTAAGGCCTCCCTAGAGCTATCTCTTTATATTACTAAAGCATAAGGCCTCCTTAAAGCTATCTACTACTATTTATTTATTTATTATTTTATTTTTTTATTTACTTTATCTCTTACTTATACCTCCTTATATTATATTATTTATTTACTTATTTTATTATTATTTATACTAATAGTAGTAATTCCTCTAATATATAGATTTACTTTTAACCCTATAAGTAAAAAGTAAGTGTCTATAATTAAGAAGTTAGTAAGGCTAATAAAAGGTAATAATAATAAAAAAAAGACTAAGTAAAAGGTAAAGTAAACTATAGGCGCTAGCTAAGGTAAAAAAGTATATTTATTTATAAGATATTAAGGATTTTTATCTTATCCTAAAGTATAGCTAGCCCTTTATTATTATATAACTATAAGGTATAACTAATTTAGCTAATATTCTTAATAGCCTTACTTAAGTTAAGTAATATAACGTCTTAAGTACTATTATTATACTTTAAATAATATAATATAGCTTTATATAGCTATATAGTTAATAGCTATAGAGATATATTACTAAAGACTTTAAAGAATAGTTACTTAATACCTTTAAAGGTACTACTTATAAAACTATTATTAAATTTAAAGACTACCTAATACGTAAGGGTATATAGGTATTAATAGTAAAGTTACTAACTATTACTAAGTAAATCTACTATACACTTAAGGCTAATAATCTAAAGGTATAAACGCTTAAGGATATTAAAGAAAAGAAAAAAAGAAGTAAGGATTTTTACTTAAAGATTAATAAACCTAATTTTATATAAGATATTATAAACCTACTACTAGAAATAATATTAATATAAGATTAACTAGGCCCCTCTTATATTATTACCTCCTTAGTATAAGTTACTTAAGTCTAGGAAGGTTAATAAAGGCCTATTAATCTAGCCTTATTATATAATAACCTAAATTTTATTTCTTTACTATTTAAGTAGGTAAGTAATACTTACTTTTACTTATTAGTTATACTAGTTACTACTACCTTACTTATAACTTACTAGCTTACTAACCTTATTAAATTATACCCTAATAAGATAAAGTATAGTAAAAAGGTATATAAGTTACTTAAATTAAAGCTTATAATCTTTTATAACTACTATATAAAGGC